ATTACACTTGATAAGAAAGTGATGACACAACCCATTATTTAAAGTAAATAAAAATGAATGCACTTCATAGTTCTATTAAATATTATATCTCATGAGAGGATCCCAAATATTTCTAGACATTTTTAAGGAAAATTCTTTATAAAGTCTTAAAAGTATATATAAACATTATATATTTATATGCCGGTTTGGCTCAAATTTTTTTACTTAATACCAAACCAAATCTAATCGAAGTTTTTAATCGATTTGTTTTAACTTTTCGGTTTGGTGCGATTTTTTTGATTTGGTGCGATTTTTTGGTTCGGTTGAACACCCTTGTTGCACGATGAAAGTTAAAAGTCAAACTCCAAATAAAGTTTTATATGTATATTTTTTTTTTCATTTTAATATGAGAAAATTTGTTGTTTATTGTATTCTTTGTACCATATATTCTGTGGATATGTACAGAAAAGAATATTTATTTCTGTTCGATTTACTTCAGAAATTAAAGTTGGTCAAAACAAACTTTGATGAAAAAGTGTCATAAATAATCAAAATAGAGAGAGTAATATTTACACGGGTTCATGAAAAAAAAATATTTACATGAGTTGATCCTTCAGTGTCTTCAATCTCGGATAATGATGCTAAGGAATTTGCGGATCGTACCAAATTGCTGGATTTTACTTCAAAAACTTACCCCGAAGATATTTAAGAGATTGCCAAATATTTTGGAAGCAAATATATGAAAATATTTATTATTCTAACCATAGTTAATTTCAATTTAGTTAACTAAATAGAGGCCATTGATATCCAAATGGGACATGTGTCATCAGGAGTGTATTTGTTAGAGTAGGTTATGGAAATTGATTGTTTTTTCTTTGATAGAATAGGTCTTGTAATCAATTAATAGTTGTTATCTTAATTGTAAATCAATTAGCTTATTTTCTAGAATTGTACTAGCATATTCTTTGGATTGTAAATATATTCTCATATCTGTGTAGTTCTATATATTGTATAGTAGATTCATAATGAAGTATACTACAATTTCACCTATTTTTGAGTTGGCATCAGAGCCACGGGTGACTCATCTAAGAATACCAATCTTGTACCGGAACGTGGTTCCATTCCTTTTGGTGTGAAACTTATTGGCAAGAATTATTTTCTTTGGTCACAAGTTGTTGAACTTTTGTTGCAAGTCGTAGAAAACTGAGATATTAAAGGGGAATAATTAAGGAACACTCCACCAGTGATGCCACATATGAAAAATGGAGTATGGATAATGTTATTGTTAAAAGTTGGCTTGTCGGTGCCATGAAACTCAACATTATGAGTTTATTTGTTCATATTTAGACGACCAAGAGATCTAAGACACCGTGTCTTAAGCTTATTATGAAGGGGCTGATAGATTAGTTATTTATGATCTCTCTTGTCAAGGTATGCATATGATACAAGAGAAAAAATCAGCTTCCACATATTTTGTAGATTTGCGCAAAATATATGGCAAAAACTAGATCATTGTAAGTCAATCTCTTTCACACAACCTGATGTTATTCATGCTCCATAGAAAGAAATTAAAGAAGGACACGTTTATATTTTCTTGGATGGTTTGGATGATATTTATGATTGTGTCTAAAGTAATATTCTTCGCACAAGTCCATTTCCAAATTCAGAATCTGCTTTTGCTATTGTTCAAAGTGAAGAACCACGGAGGAACATAATGCTACAATACTATAGATCCCAGCATGGCTATGGAAGCAAAAACTTCCTTGATTCAGAATCTAAATTACCATTTACAAACTCGCCACAATAGCGAAAGAGGTTGTACTTATTGTAGCAATCCTAAACGCGTATAGAAAATTATTTTAAATTTCATGGCTATCAACTGGTGGGATGGTTTAAATGAAAGAAGTCTCGGGAATTGGAAGGAGGGTGAAAATAATGAGGCAAAAGCAGTCGCAATGATTTCATTTGTCACTTCACTGCCAACTGTTGAAACTGTATCATTGGTTTCAGCTGAAATTGGTGATTCTGATATACTTAGCCATTCATCAGGAAATATTGGATCAGCTCTCATTAATATGGATTCTGATAAAAGCATGGATTGATTATTAACTCCGGAGGTACTGATCACATGAACTTTGATCAGTCTCTTCAACAGGCTCCTAAAAAACTATATTATTCGCATATGTCCAATGCAAATGGTGTATCATCCCCAGTTACTAGTGCTGGAACTGCCCTCCTTTTCTCTAGAGCATACATTATTTGTTCCTTTGCTATCAAATAATCTCTTATCTGTGTCTCACGTAACTCAACAATTAGTTTGTCTAGTATTAATGTATCCCAATTTTTGGATTTTTCAGGATCTCACCAGCAAGGAAATTATTAGGTGCGATACTAAAAGAGGGGGATTTTATTATAATGACGATGTATATTGCAGTATTGCTCTTACCAGTCAAGATTCCTCTTTTGCTAAATGACACCAAATATGGATGTGGCATCGAAGATTTGGCTATGCTTCTTTTGGCTACATTAAACACTTATTTTCATCATTTTTTGGGTTGAAATCTCTATGATTTTCATTGTGATATTTGTGTATTAGCTAAAAGTCATCGCACCACTTATCCTTTGAGTGCTAGTAAGGTGACTAAACTTTTTGCATTGGTTCACTCTGATGTGTGGGGTCCTTATCCAGTTTTTACTTCCTTTCGATATTGTTGGTTTGATCTTTGTTGATGATTGTAGTCGTATGACATGGTTTTATCTAATGAAGAATAAACATGATACTTCTGAATGCTTTCGATCATTCCATAAGATGATACAAACCCAATTTTCAGCCAAAAAAAGAGTTTTTAGGTCATACAATGGTGGAGAATTTGTTAATCGAGCCTTGCATTCTTATCTCAAAAATTATGGCATCATTCATGAAACAATAGCATCGTTTACACCTCAACAAAATAACGTGGAAGAGAGGAAAAATCAACATAATATTGGAAGTCACGCGTGCATGATTACTTGGTGCTCATATGCATGCATCTTGGGGGATGCTATTTTGTATGCTCTTTATTTACTAAATCGTGTACCCAGTAGAAACAATTTGGATCGAAAAAGTTTGATCACTTCCAAGAAATTTTTGAATTGGAAACTTGCTTAAATTGGATTCTTTCTTTCGTGATCTAGGTATAGGTAGCAATCCATTCTAGAATTCTTCTCATTACCTCTCATGCGGAAAAGATCCCACAAAGAAAAAGATTGTATAGTACGAAATAACATAAAAACTTATTTTTTTTAAAGAAAAAAAAAAGATATGAATCCTCTATTCCAATTGTCCCTTTTTGACAAGAATCGATAAAAAATAAGAAATATTTCAAGGTGATTCGATTTGGGGAAATCCAGATCAAACTCAGATTTATCTTACTTCACCTTAGGTTAATTTACTTCGCCTAAAGGGAAGAAAATTTTCCGAATCCTCGGTTTCAGTATCAGGTTTAAGTTTGACGAGAATAATATTCTACGACTAGCAATTCATTTATTTTCAAACCGACCCATTTACTATCTATTATTTGATTGGCTAATCCTTTATATTGGAATGGGTGAAGGGTCAAATGGTTTGGTAATTTCTCATGAGGGGATGAATCGAGAGGCCACAAATAATAGAAATTCAATTTTTTGATCTGTATCTTCAATTTTTGAAAACTTATAAAGTTCTTCCGTCAAACCTTGATCAATGAACCTACAAAATCCTTCAAATTGTAACATATCAATTGGTCGAACCCTTAATAAAGGAAAGAGACGTTGTGTATGAATCGCTCACATATTCTTCTGAATTATGTCTTCCATTTTAAAACTCCCTTAAATCATCTCTCAAGTTGGTTAACATCACATCTAATTTAAATTTGGAACCCCGTGTTTTTGGGTGTGTTATTTTTGTTCATCTCCCAAAATACCAAGGTACAAAGAAAGGTTGCAAATGTTATCATCCTCCTACCAGAAGATTGTACGTAACTATGGATGTTACTTTTTCTGAAATAAAGATGTTTCTCTCAGGAGATATCCAATTCTTCTCTTAAGGGGGAGAATATAGTTGAAGAGCAGAATTAGATGGTGTTACTGGCTGATAATAATCGTACATCAGCTAATACAGAGGTTGTTTCAACTACTCCAAATCATGGCACTCTTGATCAAGCAGTACAACAAGAAAGTGAAAAGTCCCCCTCTCCAGTACCTATAGTGCTTACCAATAATCCTCCTGTCAATGATGTTCCTGAGGAATGCAATAATTTTGAGAAAAGTACCAGTAATTTAGTTGACGATACTACACCAATGGTTTCTAGTGATGATAACATGTATCAGTTACCTCTTTGGACTAGCCGAGGTAAAGCACCAGAGAGATACCCCTGATAATTCAAAGAAAGTCAAATATCCTATTGCTCATTATGTTTCTAGTGGACACTTTCCAAGTGTTATCCAAAGTTTTGTGAATCTCAAATGTCAACTATTAAAATCCCAACAAGTTTTGAAGAGTCATTGGGTGATCATAAATGGGCAGAATCCATGACTGAGGAGATGCAAGCCCTAGAGAAAAATCAGACATGGGATATCGTGACTTTACGAGAAGGAAAGAAACCCGTCAGATGCAGATGAATTTTTTTAGTGAAGCACAAGCCGAGTGGTTCAATAGATCGATTCAAAGCAAGGCTAGTTGCACGTGGCTATACACAAACTTATAGTGTTGATTATCAGGAGACTTTTGCGCCTGTGGCAAAGTTAAATATTGTTCGTGTTCTATTATCTATAGCTGCTAATCTTGATTGGCCTTTGCAGCAATATGATGTGAAGAACGCCTTTTTACACGGAGATCTATCTGAGGAAATTTATATGAGCATACCTCCTGGTTATAACACTTTTAGCAATACAAATTTTGGTGTGCAAGTTAAACAAGGCATTGTATGGTTTGAAACAATCGCCTAGAGCATGGTTTGGAAGATTCCAACTACCAATGAAGAAATATAGCTACACTTAGAGCAATGCAGATCGCACCTTGTTTTTTTAAGAGACAAAATGGTAAGGTAACTGCTCTTATTATCTATGTTGATGACATGATTGTTACTGGTAATGATGTTGATAAGATGGCTAAATTGAAGAATTGCTTGTCCGCGGCCTTTGATATGAAATATCTGGACCGATTAAAGTATTTCTTGGGTATTGAAGTTATTAGATCCAAACAAGGAGTTTTCTTATCTCAACGCAAATAAGTTCTTGATTTGTTAAAAGCAACTGGTATGTTAGGTTGTCAACCTATCAATACACCGATTACACGAAATCATGGCTCGGAGGATCTTCCTGATCAAGTTCCTACTAACAAAGGGAGATATCAAAGACTAGTGGGACAATTTATATACTTTTCACACAGACAACCATGTATTGCTTATGTGGTAAGTCCCTCATGCATAATCCGAGTGAAGTTCATATAAATGCAGCTATTAAAATCTTACGGTATTTGAAGTCAGTACCAGGAAGAGGCCTCAACCATACAAAAATTATAGGTCATTGTGATTCGGAATGGGGTGCAAGAGGAGAAAGACGATGTTCAACAACTGGGTATTTCACATTCATTGGAGGAAACCTGGTTACTTGGAAGAGTAAAAAACAAAGGTTGTCTCATTGTCTGGTGCAGAAGCTGAATATAGGGCAATGGTCAAAGATATTCAAGAACTGCTTTGGTTAAAACGACCTACGAGGGAGCTTGGTTTTTTGCTTGATGAACTTATGAAATTATTTTGCTACAATCAGTCAGCTATTAGAATTATAGAAAACCCAATTCAACATGATCGTACTAAACATATAGGGATTGATCGTAATTTCATATATGAGAAATTTGAGGATAAAAACAATTGAGGTTCCATGTGGAAGACCTTAGAGCAGCTGACCGATGTTCTAGCTTAAGTTGTTTCCAGACAAGCTTTTAATAACTCACTGGCCAAGATGAGATTTTTGTCGATTGACGGTTATTGGTAAGTTCTCACATGGAAAGGGTACAATTGAAGAAATTCGAAGAGATATTACTGCTAGGTTTTCTATGAGAGGTACGATCAAGATTGGCCACTGTAATTCAAAACATATTTTCATGGATTTTTAAGAATAATATCTATTTTAGAGATAAGATTATGATCTTTGGAGTTCCTATGCGATTGCAAAGGCGGACTAAAGATTTTAAGCCTAATGAGGAAACTACTGGTCCCGATATGGATTCATCTACCTGATCTTCCATGGCACTATTACAACTGGTCTGCTTTACAAAGAATTGTTTCACCGAATGGAACTCTACTAACTATTGACAAGGCTAATGATGTTAAGTCTAGACCTAACTTTGCTAAAGTTAAGGTGGAAGTCGATTTGGTCGTTCAATTGAAATTCTCTGTATGGGCAGGCATTAAGGAGGTGGGTGGAACTGAGCGGGGAGGTTTTGATCAGAAAATTGAATAGGACTATGTTCCAGAATACTGTTTTGGGTGTAAGCACCAAGGTCACTCACAAGAACGATATCTCAAATTGAAAAATAGAGATGATAAAAGGGATAGCAAGAAAGAGATGCAGGGTAACAGAATTGAACCAACTATCAACTCTATTGTTGATATTCAGACAAAGTTTGATGAAGAATCAGGTGCTGCCAATTCAAAAGGAAAAGAAACTGTCTCAAAGGAAGCAGGAGATTCTAGCAAAGCTATTACAAGAGAGGGGGGATCAAAGCATGTGTAAAACAATTCTAACAGAAATAGGTTCCAAAAGGGACTTAGAACCAGCAAGGGGTGGAAGATCAAGAAATGGATTGTGCGGGGCATAATGGAAATATTGACTCTCAGAAACAAGCACAAGCAGATGCAAAAATTGATATCTAAGAAATTGAGAGGAGCTGCTGTAATTACACATGGGACAGGGTTGACACCTAGAAAGGAAATTTTTAGTTTTCTTGGCTTTACTAATCCAGTCCACAATTATTTCAAGCAGTTGGAGAACCTACCTGATGAAGAGGTTAATAGTGAGGGCAATATTGCAGAATCTATTAGTAAAGAACATAATGAGTATCCACAAGAATTTAATGTTCCTACTACGACACTATCTGCAAAGGACATTGGTTGGAAGGATATTTGTGAGGAGGTCATTAGGGAAGAGAACCAGTCCACAGTTGTGTTGACCACCAATTCTTGCATGCCCTTTTGTGTAGAAGTGAGAAATTATGATGTGGTACCTGATGAAATTGAACTAGGAGTTCATTTATGAAGTCCTACCCAATTACAAGGCAATGTAAAGGTGGTGCAGAAGGCAGTAGGGAATGCTTTTCCTGAAGGACCATCCTAGAATGCTAATCTAGATATATCCTATATCAATGAAACAGTTCCTTTGGTTGATGAAGAGGAGGATGGCAGTGAGTATGATTCAGAGGATAGTACAGGAATTTCTCAAGATAATGAGGATGATGAAGAAGAATATGAATAATGTAACTCCACAGATTAAGAAGATCTTATACAGAAAATTGCACCAAAAACTTCATGGAGTGGACATGAGGAGGATAATGCTCTGACTCAACACTCAAATGATTTAATCATGAAAGGCAATTTATCACCAAGGAAGAAAGGAAAGATTCATTATAAGGTGGATACAATTGATCTTGGCCCTGTTATTAGAGCCAAGGTAAAAGCCATGCAAAACGCCACATCCTCCGACATGTTTTAATGATTAGTACAATCGTTTGGAATATTAGGGGGGATGAAGTCCAGGGGAGCTTTTGAGAGATTGAAGTTTTTAACAAAAAATCATAAAATACAGTTTATTGCTTTGCAAGAACCTTTTGTAGAAGCAATCCATATTGAAGCTTTTAAAAGGAATCTTGGTTTTGAAGGTTGTAGATCTAATGTTATTGGTAAAATTAGGTTTTTTGGGCAGAAACTTTGGAGGTCACAGTTTGTAGTGAGAGGAGCAGCAGATCACTTTGAAATTGAACAAAAAGGGCTATGAAGATTGTTTCTGGATATCTATTGTTTATGCTAAGTCAACATGTTCTTTGAGATTACCTCTATGGGAATCATTGAGGCAATGCAATGGTTGTTTCTTCCTCGTTGTTGATACAGGCAAAACCCAGCCAGATGAACTTGAACGTAAATGGACCTTGGTCTATTTATGGGGATTTAACGTTATTTTTATAGCAGAAGAGAAGAAGGGGGGTAGACCTCACAGGATGGAGAAAAGTTGGGATTTTATATCTTGTTCTGAAGAATGTGGGATGATAGGTGCAGGTTTTTCTGGACCTAAGTTCACATGGTGCAATGCTAGGGGCTACAGACATAGGATATAAAAAAGGCTAGATAGGGTGCTTATTCACAACGAATGGAATTCTTTTTACTCCAATATTGAAGTAGAACACCTTGCAATTAGTGGATCTAACCATACACCAATGCTTGTAAGATGTTCTGATTCTAATCAAAATTTTATTAGGTATTTCAAGTTTTTGAAATTCTGGGCTGATCACCTTGGTTTCTTTGAAATGGTACAACAAGCGTGGGAGGTTAATTTTGATGGTAACTCAATGTGGAAACTTCAACAGAAGTTAAAACTAGTTGCAAAACAACTTAGTTCTTGGTCTAAGATACATATTGGAGATGCATATGCACAAGTCAAGGAATGGGAGGAGAAGGTGTTACAGTTGGAGACTCAATACATAGATGAATTCACAGATGAAGGAAGGTCAGAACTCCACAAAACACACGCTGAATATACTAGATGGCTTAAAGCAGAAGAATCTATTCTAAAGCAAAAGGCCAACATTAGATTGCTAGAGGAGGGTGATGCTAATAGTAAGTATTTCCATGCAGTTATAAATGAGAGGAGAAGAAGACTAACTATACATAGAATTAAAAGGCATGATGGACAATGGATCACCGGGGAACAGGAGATAGCAGCAGAAGCACGGCATCATTTCCAGAGTTTATTTTCTAAGGATGACCATTGAGTCCAACTTCAGCATTTAAATTGTATTCAACCTATGATTTCTCATGAAGAAAATGCAGAGATGTGTTCTATTTCAGGTGAAGAAGAGATACGGAAGACAATTTTTAAAATGAATTTAGATAGTGCTCCTGGGCCAGATGGTTTTGGAGGGGCTTTTTATCAAGTTTACTGGGAGATTATCAAGGGAGATGTTATCAATTTTGTTCAGAGTTTTTATAATGGGAAAAACTTAACCCAAGTTTTATACGAGTTCCTGTTTGGTTCTACTGCCTAAAGTTGAACATCCATGTTCATTTGCAAAGTTATGACCCATTAGCTTGAGCAATTTCTCCAATAATTATTTTTCTAAAATTATGAGTAACAGATTGGACCTTTACTATCAAAGCTCATCTTGCAGCACCAAAGTGGATTTGTACCTGGAAAAACATTCTTTTAGAACAAGAGGTGATCCATGGTTTGACGAAAGGGAACAAAGAAGGCAATGGTATAGTAAGATTAGACATGGTTAAGGCATATGACTGGGTAAATTGGGACTTCGTTCTTGCAGTGTTGAGAAGATTTGGGTTTGCTGAAGGATGGATAGATCTAGTTTGGAGGTTCATTTCTAATACATGGTACTCAGTGATTATCAATGGCAACAAAATGGTTTCTTTCATTCAACTAGAGGATTGAAGCAAGGGGATCCTTTATCCCCTTCCCTATTTATTTTAGGAGCTGAGGTTCTCTCCAGGAGACTTAATAGCTTAATCACAAATGTGTTGTACTCTGGTTTCAGCATGAATAGGAAAGGTCCATAGATTACACATCTTGAATATGCCGATGATGTAATTATATTCACCTCTGGTTCAAATATTTCTCTTGGACTTATCGAGCAGGAATTGAAGAACTATCAAGATTGTTCTGGACAATTGATTAATGAGAGCAAAGGTTGTTTTTTAATTGATCCCGATTCACCTGTAGAACTGATACAAAGAGTGAAGAGAGTAACTAGTTACAGACAAGTTGAGTTTCCCATCACATACCTGGGGTGTCCTCTTTATATAGGGAGAAAAAAAAATCACTCTTTAGCGATTGCATTACGAAGATTGTAAGTAAGATTACAGGCTGGCAAGGAAAGCTTCAATTGGGGGAAGAGCTATTTTGGTTAAACATGTTCTTCAGTCTCAACCATTACATTTAGGACCCGTTTGGTCATAGATTTTGTCAAAATAAACTTGGTTTTTATTTGGCAAATACATGCTTGGCCATAGATTTTGCCTACATTTTGGCCAAATCCCAAATCCCAAAACCAGCTCAATAGCTGGTTATGGGCCAAAATATCACTATTATATTTTTTTAAAATTGCCCCAAACTTTTGTATTTTATAAAAGAGCCCACCATTTATTATTTTGTAACGATGTTGCTTCGTCTTCTCGGTCATCTGATAGTGTATCATGTAGTTCATTATAAAAATGATAATTTTGTATCAAATTTATTTATGTTCAGGACCATGATTTGCGATAATATAATGAATGTTATTGATAATGGTATTGTTGGGTATTTGTGATAGTTTTTAAAACTTATGGGTATAAGTCATGTTTCATATTTTTCCAAACCAAACTTCACCCAAAACAGATGTCCAAACACATTTTAATCTTCAAACCAAACTTCACCCAAATCAGATTTTTCAAAATAAATTTGGAAATCTATGGCCAAACGCTAGCTTATTAGCGGCTATGGAAC